TCCCGTGCAGGGGTCGTACTCTCTGATCAAAGCTTCACACAGAAGGTTGTAATCCCTTCTCGTTGCATCAGGTAGACGCTCGATGAAGGTGAACACCTCTCTGTCAGAAGTGAGCCTTATCAGACTGATTCTATCCTCAACCGTAGCATTAGGATAACCACCCAGTCTGAATTCAAGGTCTTTGAGATACGCTTTTGTTCCAGTTGAACCCATTGGTCCCGGTACAAAGCGTTGTACATATTTTGAGATTTTTAGCAACTCATCTATTGAAGGAGGAAGTCTCAATGCTCTCTGTTGCCTGTTTAGTAGAGGAGACCTGTTCAGGTCTGTCTCTACCACCTTAGGTATGGATGGAGGTGTGTGTGATGTAAGGAGATTTGGGTCTGAAACCCAGTGTGTCCCCACATTCAGTCCATCCCTCTCACCATATTTCCTTTCTGCATGGCAAAGTTGTGTTTTAAGCACGTCTATCTCAGCTTTGCAGCGGGACACTTGTGACATTGTCTCGACGTGATCCCGTCTTAATGCAAAGTATGCTGTGGAACACAGTTCTTTAGCATCCCTGGCTTCAGTTAGTGATGCATTAAGTGACTGTACTTGGCTGTTCAGTGAATCAATTTCTGTACGTGCGTCTTGCTGTGACTGAAACATCTGTTCAAGATGTTTTTTTGTGAGGACCTCGTGTTCACTTTTAAATTGAAGGTAGTGTTCTTCAATTTCCTGAACCACCTCTTTTTCGCTGTTTAACCTTATTGCAAGGTCATCAGCCTTGTCCACCACTGCATAGAATGATGCTTTCAGTAAAAATGCCAATTTAGCCAGCTTTTCATAGCTTGACTTTGTTATGTCTGTAGAGGTCACACTCTCTGCAACCTCCTTCAGCTCATCCAATAACTCTTTTGAGTTCATGCTGTCCACCTGTTCACCATATGGATGTAAGGATTCTGTGAGCAGCGTCAACGCTCTCTCTAACCAGTCCTTCATCTCACAAGGATCAAAATCCTTTTCTATCACACCTGCCATGGTTTTTCACTGTTTAGCCTTATCTGTGTAAACAGTTGCCAACTTCAGATTATTTTAACAGGTAAATATTTGTATTCAAGTAAGCAGTGAGTCACACACTATTTTAAGCTCTGGATTTACTCAAAAGTACTGTCATAAGTCAACTTATTCAAATGTGGGCACCTATTTGTAGGTTTTACCCCAATTCATGAATATTCTTAAGTAAATGCTTCTCTGCAGTGTTACTTTTTAATGTGCTTATTTTTAACAGATACAAGAACCAGGCTTCTCAGTGATATTTTACTCTAAAGCACTTAACAATAAATAAACCTGCAATTTTTCTAAAAGTTTCAAGCAACTTTAGTTTTTAAACGCTTTCTTAAGCCGTTCTTTTCCAGAAATTCGCTATTTTAAACAGTTACTTATTAACCAGGTTGGGTGAAAAGAAAAATTATGAGGAGATTATCAGTCCCTCTTCAGGAAAACTGTTATACTCCTCTTCTCCTGCCATTATCTTCTATTTAAAATTAAATAGGAAGATGTGGTGTTTTAGGTGGTAAAATAAATCAGAAAAGTTTCCTTTTTCTGATATAATTACTCTTATTTAGTGTTCTAGCAATTAAACGTGTATTATCTTTTCAGCAAATGAGTAAACTTTATCAACTCTGTGAATATCTGGACTGTATCTTTAAAAAGTTTCTAATTTTTCATTTTGCACCTCCGTTTGAAGAATTATCAGTGAATGAAAAATGTCTTGGTAAATGTCCTTCTGGCATAAATACCTTAATCACTTTTTAAATGCAAGATAACAGTAATAATTCAGCTTGAAGAACGTTTATTAACCCAAAAATGCTTCTGACAGAAATAAACACGTGTAATTTCACCAAAATATCCTAAAAACGAAGTGAAACTGTGATTTTAAGTTTCCAACAGGAGGTGGCGGTGTAAGCTTATTTATACCAGCAGGAGTCTGACAACTTCCTGTGCATCGTTCCGTTGACATCCGGTTGTTAGCCGCTTAGCTTAAAATTAGCATCGGCTAAACTCGGTTAAATCAACATTTCTGAACGGATTTAAAGCTTAAACGTGGCGTTGTTTCAACAAGCACGACTTCTTTGCATGAAACATGAGTTTTTTGGTACATGTGGCAGCTCCATTTAGTGATTTTAAGCACAGAAAAGGCTTCGGTTGAACCGAGACTCATTTCCGGGTCACGTGACTGAATCAACCAATAAGCGTAGCAACGGGGGTGGGTTTTACAATCTGACATCAGAGGAAGTGACGACAGACACGTCTCTCAGCGAATCAGGGCTACCCAAACAACGGTTTTCGACCAATCGCTGCTCGCTATTTCAGCTAGCGTGTTAGCATTTAGCCTGAACATTCCGGTCAACTTTTCGTCATCAAAACTTTCGAGATACACTATTTTCTGTTAAAAATGTAACTAATCAACTCTCAAAGCTTCACTGAGACGGCGCTCAGTTCTTAAAAACGTCTCTCCATCCATTTAAAACACTCGTTCGAACTTATCAGAACCGAGCCGGACCAGAACCCCCAGTCCGTTTAAACAGAATCCACGTTTTTCACAGCTCATCAGCTTTTTACACACAACAGATGTACATTTCAGCTTTAAAATGACCCGTTGACGTTATTTTCAGCTCATAAAACACCACAGCGACAGAACATTGCTGTATTTTCTCTGAGCACTGCAGCTGCAACACGCTGCGTTTCACACAGCAACCTGCACTCTTTATGCCAACATGATAAATTCAATTGTTACACGAATAACAGTCCATTTATGATACCGTACGAGGCCACCAGTTGTAGAGCTCTTTAGAGACCAGTACGAGGCCACCAGTTGTAGAGGAACATATATCTGTGATATATTCATAAATTAAACGGATTCTTTCATTTTTCTGGACTGAATAATATCGTGCATTGAATAATTAAATGTAACGTGAGACGTTAATTTTCTTTGACCCATCAAATGAATGCGGTCATTTATTAACAGAATCAAAGTTTAACATCAAACATTTACATTAATTTGGCAAATTGATTTCAATAACAACATAATTAATTAGCAAACTTTACAATTAGGAAACCATACGGCCATGATTTCCCTTGCAACTTTAACCCAACAGACATTTCTGAAAATATCTGGATGAATTACTGGCAAGATAGAAGAGTTTTAAAGATGGAAATGAAGTTTAAATGGAGAGGAAAAGATGGATGAGTGAATATGTATCAGTATCAGAACGGCACGCTCCATTGGATCTCAGCTTCCTCCTCGGTACACTTAGGTAGTGTAAATCGACTCTTTACCTGTAGAAGGTGTCTCCACTGGTACGGAGTTCCATTTAACGCACCCTTTCAGCGTCTTCGTAGGAACAGCTGTGAATCGTCCGAAGTAGTGACGGTATTTCGTCCGACACACGTTCACCCCAATGGTGGACTCACAAGAGGAGTAAGTCCGTCAGAGGCTCCACTCAGATGTGGAAGATTTCATAATTCCCACAAGACTCGGAAGAACTGCGGATCATGTCTGAACCTCCTGTTCTCTCCAGCACTTCTTCTGTTCGGTTTTGCTCTCCGAACTGAACTGCTCTCCAACCGCACTGGCTGGAACTAGGAAGTGCCGACTTTTAAAGAGTTCTGTTTCCGGTTCATTTGGGAAGTCCTGATTGGCCGAAATAGCTAATCAGGGGTGTGTTTTGTGACGTAAGAGGTCACTAGAAGTCAGAAAAACAGAAAAATATTTTGGAACAGACTGAAAATGTTTTTGAGACAGACAAGAGAAATGTTTAGGCGAGTTGGGAGAAAACAGGTGCCAGCTTCTCTATTTATGTCTGAGAGGATTTAAAAACATGACAGTTCGTTCCAACAAATTTGTTTGCGTTTGTCTCCAACCTTGGACCAACTTACACTTGCTCATTTCAGACAGAAAATCAGAAAATGCATAATTCGTTTGTAACACATTTTAACTTGATTTCTACTTTGAATGAGGATTAAAAAATCACTAATACTGTTTCACAGTTGATTTAAAATGAGTAGTTCACTTCAACATTTAAAAATGGTTTGAACTAAACACACTTTGATTATCAAGAAAATAGTAATGATAATAAAAAAGAGAGTGTTCTTTCAATTGATCAGTGCAGGACACTTAGAAAGTCTCTGGATGAACTTAATCTTGTGTTTCTGGACTCAAATCAATGAAATACAGTTCTTGTCCCAGGAAGGCCCTCAAGGCCAGATTTGACCTGAGGCTTAGTTCACTACAGTTACTATGGTGTTGAAGGCAGACGTGAAGTCCACAAAAAGCATATGGATGTAGGAGTCCTTCTGCTCCAAGTGGGTGAGAGCAGTGTGGACCACAGTGCAGCCTTCTCTCAAACCAACATTCCTCTCCATCAAGGATGTGAACATCTTCATTCCTGAAAGAGTGACTGCTGGCCTGGAGATGAGTGTAGACCACAGAGTCCTGGCCTGATGATGTTGATCTTCTGTGCTGGGCCATCCTTTTGGCCAGTGGCTGTTTAGTTTCCCCGATGTAAGACTGATCACCCTCCTGACACTGAACAGCATATACAATATTACGCTGTTTGTGCCGGGGGACTGGATCTTTGGGGTGAACCAGTCTTTGCTGTAATGTATTTTGGGGTTTAAAAGCCACTGGGACGTTATGTTTAGAAAATAAACGTCTCAGTTTCTCTGATACTCCCTCAACATACATAATGACCTATAATATTGGGGGACAGTATTATATGCAGAAATATTTGGGCTTTAAATTAAATGAAGTGAATACATATGGATTCATTAGAATATTTCAAAACTTTTTTTCTAAATTTAATTTAATTATTTCAGTGTTTTATGTAGGTCCAAAACTTGGAATCAAATAGAAAATTCATTACAATGTCTGACTTTAAGGCAACACATTATGCACCAAGGTGTCTGGATTATTCTGCAGCACTGTATCTCTTGTGTTTTCTCCTCAACTGAAGATATAAGATGCTTGACCAGACCAGTGGGGTAGAGGAAGCAGGAACGCTTCGATGGGAGCTTTTCCTCATCCTCATCCTGGCTTGGATACTCATTTATCTTTGCATCTTTAAGGGGGTGAAATCAACAGGCAAGGTGAGTGAAAAGAGTGAAAACTGCAGGCAGAGATAAGTGAACAAACCACCTGGCAGTGAGCAAACATCAAGCCTTTATCCTCTGATTATATGCAGGTGGTGTACTTTACTGCCCTGTTCCCATATGTCATTCTAATCGCCCTGCTCGTCAACAACGTGCAGCTTCCTGGTGCATTAGATGGGATATCCTTCTTCATTGTGCCAGAATGGAACAAGCTGCTCTCAGTAGAGGTAAGATGTGTGAAAAGGAGGTAAAGCAGGCAGCTCAACTGATGCAGTTGTTTATGGTTAAAGGGTTGACTGGTCCTAGGTGTGGGTGAATGCTGCAGCTCAAATCTTCAACTCCATTGGGATTGGTTTCGGCTCCCTCCTGGCCATGTCCAGCTACAACTCCTTCAACAACAATGTTCTGAAGTAAACATCCCCTAAACCTCATCCAGTCATCCTCCTACATGTCTGCAGTGATAATGATCACTGGAGTGGTTGGAAAGCAATTTAAAGTGCATCTTTTCTCCCTCCAGGGACACCCTGTTCATATCCATTACCAACTCTCTGACCAGCATCCTGGCAGGCTTTGTCATTTTCTCTGCCTTCGGATACATGTCTTACCTTCAGGGCATTCCTGTCAGCCAACTGGCAGTGGATGGTAAGATAACTAAAACCTGTTTTTTAATGAGTTTGTAATGATTTAAATTGATGGCACTTTGAATAAAGTACCCTAGATGAACTGCGTGGGTATAATTGTATGGGTATTTTTTAAAAGAGTTTTTAACATGAACGTGTTTTTGTTCCTCCATGGAAAAATTACGTCTTTTCACTGAAAATTTAAATGAAAATATTATATTAAAAAAATTATAATATTTTAGAAGTGCAATTTGGCGTACAACCCTAAATTGTCCGAGAGTGGATGGTTGTTTGTCTCACTGTGTCCCTGTGATGGACTGGAGACCTGTCAGGGGTGTCTCCCACCTCTCACACAGTGGCTGCTGGATATGGGCACCAGGGACCACCACGACATGAAAAGGAATAAGCGCGTAAAAGATAATGGATGGATGGGTTTGGGAGTGCGTTGTTGTGTGACTACATTGTGCAATGATGAAAATGGTTTATTCACATTCATTTTGCTTGTGCACTGCGAGATAAAATTCATATAACCACTGAAATTTCTTACATGGTTTTATTGTTTTTCCACTAAAAAATGTTCAAATTCAATTCTAAACACTCATTTGCATGGCTTTTATACTCAACCCTAAGGCTCGCAGCGGTGTTCTGTGTTTATATGTTGTTAATAAAAAGTTCTAAAAAAAACAGGTCCTGCAGCCCACACATCAGATCAGCCCACCAGGAAATCTCCAGACCCTCCTGCAGCAATTCTGGACCTGAGTTTAATTCGCTCGTGAAAAATTCCTTCATTTCTCACCATTTCAGTCATGGCATCAACGGAGGAGGAAGAGATCTCTTGCCTCTTGGCAAAAAAACAAAAGAAAAGGCCAGATCAGGGATGAAGAAGAGGAATTTAATACATTGGTGTCGCATACAAATCAGTCCATCGCTGGGCAATTTATTGTGCGACACCGCGTACGCGTATGCGGTCGTAAAAATTGAGCTTTGCACGGACATGCCCTGGGGGGTATGCTCGTACCTGCGCGTATGGACGTACGCGGGAGTATACTGGGGGCTTTTCTTTGCCTAAATAACCATGTGCTTTAATCTCAGCCCTCTTTTCAGCCTAGCTTCTTCTTTCGACTTTTCCCTCTTCAGGGGTCGCCACAGCGAGTCATCCTCCTCCATCTCACTGGAGATGGAGCTCCCAGTTTTTCATTAATTAATTTCAGAACATTTGAGGCTTCATGCTCTAAGCAAAAGCACAAATGTATGATTTCAAAGTAAAAAATAAACTTATCTGTCCTTGGTTTAGTGGTCAGCCCGGTTTTTCCAAGATGGCGCCGGTGTGTAGGGCTGCCCCTCTCTCGCTCTCTGCTTGTATTGTATTTTTGTTATTTTTACAATGGTTGGTGCAGTATGCCAAGTCATATTTTCAGTATGATCGTCGGGCACTTTTGGAGCTCCGTACTTTTGCTGAAATTCCTGCGGCGTTTTTGTTTAGCGGTCAGCACTCTCCTCCATCAGTCCTGTCTGAGATTCCTGCATTCCTTCTGCGTGACCCTGGTCTTTCTCCATGGAGGAAACGTCGCAGACGTCGTGGGAAGCGTGCAGGTATTTTGGTGAAACTGAGGCAAAGTGTGGATTATTCTATCAAGACTCGCTCTGGATCTGATCATCTCCTCTCTGACCCGTGGCGCTCCCGGGGCCCGGCTGCTGGCCAGCTGCCCGCACGCTCAGTCCATGTAAACACCTGGAGTTGTTTACCTGTGCGCCGCACCAGCAGACCTGGAGGAGCTGTTCTTCATAACATGCGCCCGCTGGCGCGCGCTTCTCCTTCCACGGCTGTGCCTGTGTTGGACCCTATCAGGATGTGTTTAATCAACACAAGGTCTGTTTCCAACAAGACGTTTATCCTCAATGACTTTTTTAAAGATGAGGAGTTGGATTTTCTGTTCGTCACGGAATCTTGGATTTCTGATGGTGAGTCCAGCGCCTTGGTGGAATTACTACCACTGGACTGTCTGTGTTTCAATGCCCCGCGGCCATCAGGTCGGCGCGGGGGGGGGGGGGGGGGGATTATTAACAGTTTTTAAAGCAAACTTTGCCTGTAAACAGTTGTCCATCCCGGTGTCCCGCGCCAGCTTCGAGCTGAGCGCCTTTGAACTTGGACACTCTCCTCCGGTCCTGTGTGCGCTCATCTACCGCCCACCTCGTTCTAAGGACTTCATAAATGAATTCTCTGACTTTTTGGCGGATATCACACAGAGATACACTCACTTTTTGTTTATTGGTGACTTTAATTTGCATGTGTGTTGTCAGGAGAAGCCCTTAGTGAAGGACTTTCTAGATTTATTGGACTCTTTTAATTTAACTCAGCAGGTAAACGGTCCCACCCAAGAACACGGTCACACGCTGGACCTCGTTTTAACACGCGATGTCTCTGTTTCTAATTTGAAAATCGGTGACAATGTTTTTTCAGATCACATGCCTGTATTGTTTGACTTCACCCCCCCTTGTCCTACTGCTAAGACGTGCGTTCCTGCACGTACTACGCGTTCCATTAACCGTTTCACTGCTGCTCGTTTTAATGAAGGTTTTAATTCTGAGAGGATCGAACAGTTCCCGGTGTCTCTTACCACTGAGGAGCTAACCTCTCAGTTCAACTCTGCCTGTTTAAATGTTCTGGACCGTGTTGCTCCCCTTAAGACCAGAAAAACGAAACTTAAATCAGAGCCTTGGCTGAATGACGTCACGCGAGCCGTTAGGCGGCAGTGTCGCAGAGCTGAACGAAGGTGGAGGAAGGACAGGCTGCAGGTTTCTTTTCAAATGTTAAGGGAGAGTTGGCATCACTATCAGAAAACCGTTAAAGCTGCCAAATGTAAATTCTTCTCTGATTTAATTGTCTCCAACTCCCACAACCCCCGAGTTCTTTTCTCCACCCTGAACTCAGTTCTACACCTCAGTGAGCCTTCACCTCTGGAAGCCTCAACTGAGCTGTGTGAAAACTTCCTCCATTTCTTTTTAGAAAAAGTGGCAAACACCCAGGCACTCATTTCTCCACCAGCTCATGATCTGTCCATCCCATCTCAGTGTGTGACTGTGTTTGACCACTTTGAGCCCATCTCTCTGTCCTCTCTGGGGCAGGTCATGTGCAGCATGAAGCCATCTGGTTCCCCCTTTGATGTGGTCCCCCCTCGACTACTAAAGGAAGTTTTTCCTACCCTGGGTCCTTTTATTCTTGCTATTCTGAATAGCAGTTTATCCTCAGGCATGGTGCCAAAAACTTTTAAACATGCTGCTGTCCAGCCCCTCCTGAAAAAACCTAACCTTGACCCCTCAGTCATGTCCAACTTCCGGCCTGTCTCCAGCCTCCCATTCACCTCTAAACTACTGGAAAAAATTGTGGAGTCTCAGTTGAAACAGTTTTTGGGGGATCACGCTATCCTAGAGTTATTCCAATCTGGCTTCAAATCTCTCCATAGCACTGAAACTGCTCTACTGAAGGTTTTTAATGACATTTTCATATCCACAGACGCAGGTGATTCTGTGCTGCTTGTCCTATTGGACCTTACATCTGCTTTTGACACCATCGACCACAAGATCCTCATTTCTAGACTGGAGCAGTGGGTGGGCATCACAGGGTCAGCCCTTAAATGGTTTGGGTCCTACCTCTCTGACAGAACCTTCTGTGTCAATATCAAAGATTTTAGTTCGGCATCGACAGCGCTCCAGTGGGGGTACCGCAGGGGTCCATCCTCGGTCCCCTTCTCTTTTTTTTATACCTGCTGCCACTAGGTGCTATTTTCCGCAAACACAACATACCCTTTAATTTCTACGCCGATGACTGCCAAATTTACTTCCCCCTGAGGCACAGAGGCACACGCTCTATTCAGCCTCTTCTTGACTGCCTGGCTGATATCCGGGACTGGATGGCTTTAAACTTCTTAAGCTTCAATGAGAAGAAGTCTGAAGTCATGCTGTTCCATCCCAGTGACTCACTCATGAACCATGACATTGACCTTTTCTCTCTAGCCCTGCTAGAGAAACAAAAGGTCACTAATCTGGGGGTGATAATGGACCCGTCCTTAAAACTCAACAGTCACGTAAACATGATGGTAAAATCCTGTTTTTTCAGCTGAGACGGCTGTCTAAGCTGAAGCCTATACTCTCCAAAAAGAACCTTGAGACAGTGATCCACGCCTTCATAACATCTAGGCTTGATTACTGCAATTCACTTCTGTTTGGAATCGGTCAGTCCTCCATTGCTCGTCTACAACTGGTCCAAAATGCTGCAGCCCGATTTTTAACTGGTACAGGCTATAGAGAGCACATCACGCCAGTTTTGGCCTCCCTGCACTGGCTACCCATTCACCTTCGGATCCATTTCAAAATTCTCATGTATGTTTTTAAATCACTGAACAGTTCCGCCCCATCCTATCTCACTGATCTTCTGCAGCCATATGTCCCACCGCGCTCTCTGAGGTCAGCAGACCAGATGCTTCTCTCAGTCCCAGAAACCCGTCGTAAGCTCAGAGGTGACAGGGTTTTCTCTGTTGCAGGTCCACGACTGTGGAATGAGTTGCCACTGAGTGTACGGCAGGCTCCCACACTCTCAGTCTTTAAGCCTCGCTTGAAGACCCACTTCTATTCTCTTGTCTTTAACATGGTGTGATTTGTTTTGGTCCTGTCTGTACTCTACACTGTTGGCCATTTTAGTTAGCTTCTGCTGCTATTTGTATCTGTATTTTTATTTTATGTTTTCCTGTCCGCTGTGCATGTTTGTTTTCTTTTGTACAGCACTTTGGTTGGCCTTGTTGCTGTTTTAAGTGCTCTATAAATAAATTGGTATGGTATGGTATGGTTGTCTCGCAGCAAGAAGGTTTGAGTCGGGGGTCTTTCAGTGTTGATTGAATATTTTCCAGGTTTAGGTGAGTTTTCTCTGGGTGCTCTGGTTTCCTCTCACAGTCCAAAACATACAGTCTCAGGAAGATTGGGGACTAAACTGCCCTGAGGTGTGAGTGTGCATGGTTTCATGTCTTGTTTGTCTCAATGTAGCTCTGAGCTGCTGGTGACCTGTTCAGCTCCACCCTGCTTTTTTCTAAAGCATTGATGGGAGAATGGGAGATGGATGGATGGATGGATGGATGGATGGACAAACAGACAGATGGATGGACATGCAGGCAAAGACATTGAAGAATTCAATTCAACATCATTTTTAAATGTTTGGAATTTATTAAAAAAAAAAAGAGAGAGAGATATGTTTCCATGTGACAACATTGTGAAGGGTTAATAATTCCAGTACGCTGAGTAAAAAAGGGAGGGAAATTAGGAAAAAAGAAAGAAAAGCCTGTGAATATAACAAACTAGAAAATAATATCAAATTTATTGCTATTAGAAACTTTCACAAGTCAGAGAAAGTGCTCTCACCTTTAAAATTAATAACAGAACTAGAACAGCACAAAGCAATGGGCTAATGTAGTAAATGGTTGATGAGAAGGTAAAAATGTAATGAATAAATCAATTATAATTGTTGAAAACAATGTTTTAACCATAATGTCTCATCTTGTGTGTTTGTGCACTTGTCCAGGTCCAGGATTGGTTTTTGTTGTTTACCCACAAGCCTTTGCCAGCATGCCGGTGGCTCAGCTCTGGGCTGTCTTGTTTTTCTTCATGCTGCTGTGCCTGGGACTGGACAGTGAGGTAGCAAATATGGAAATCTGAGTGGTCTGAAACAAAAAACAAAGCTCCACAGAAGTGTGACTGTATAAACTCTGTTTTGTGGCAGTTTGCGATGGTTGAAGTGATGGTTACCAGTCTACTGGATGAGTTTTACCACCATCTGATTAAATTTTTCAAGAGGAAGGAGGTCTTCGTTCTTGCAGTCTGTGGCGTGGCCCTCCTGTTAGGAATCCCTTGTGTCATGCAGGTAAAATACTTTAACTTGCAAGATAATGTTTAACCAAATGATGACCAAGATCCTCAGGAGTGTTTCGTCCTCCAGGTGGGGATCTACATCTTCCAGCTGATGGACCACTACACCGCCATAGTGTCCATCATGTTTCTTGCCTTCTTTGAGATTATTGCCATCTGTTGGAGTTACGGTGAGATAAACAAACTTATTTTATTGTCAGCTCCAATGACAAGACATTTAATAGACAAATCTTGACCTATTTTAGGACTTTTCCAGGTGTGAAACGACTTTCAAACAACTTAGAAGAGATGACTGGAAGAAAACCCAACATCTTCTTCAGACTTTGCTGGCTGATAGTAGATCCTGTGCTGATCACTGTAGGTTAACAGGCTTTTTTATGATAAGAATCAAAAACTTTATCTTAAACTGTGTTTACAACTCAACTTTAACATCTGTCTCTTTGTACTAGGTCATTTTGATTTTCTCCATCATTCAGTTCAAACCCGCCCGCTACGAGAACTATGTCTTCCCTCCCTGGGCTCAGGGTGTTGGCTGGATCATCGCACTGGCCTCCATCATCTGGATTCCTCTGGCTGCCGTTCACACTTTGTGGGTCCTACCTGGTTCATTCACACAGGTGATTTAACACTGCAGCACATACAGGTTGTGCACATGAGAAAAACAACTCTTTTAAGTCGTGTTTATTTGTGTAACAGGACATCTGGTTATGACCAGGTTCTAAACTTATATCTAACTTCAAGTGTACAATAACGCACAACAGATTATATCATGTCATTATTTCTTGAACAAAAACAAAACCAGCTTAGCCTCCTCTTCTTTCCAACGTCACTTCAGCCCATCAGTTTATGCAGTTGTTTCGGTTCAGCTCTCTTGAGGTCCCACCACAGCATAACAATCAGGTCGAGGTCTGGACTTTGACTGGATCATTGCAACACATTGATGCTTTTCTTTTTTTAGCTAATCTGCTGTAGACTTGCCCGAGCTGTACATTTCAAAAACCTGTTCTCGGAACTGAAATAAAAAGGGGTGAATATTTACGCAATCACCTCTTTTACATTGCACATTATCATTATTTTGTTTGGTATTGCGCTGTAAAATTATCATTTAATTTTGATATTTAAGTTGTTTTTGTTGTCAAAAGCTATTTTATATTGACCTTGACAGATTTATGACAAAAAAAATCATAAAACATCCAACATTGTAAATAATTTACTGCATCCGTTAATACACTGCTTTTCCATTGAATTTTTGTTGAATAATGACATTTCAGTGGTTGTGAGTTTTTGTACACTTGACGTTAGATTTGAATAATTTTAGAACATGGCAAACATCAGATCATTTTTATGTCCAGACACATAAAACAAAAATGAAAAAGGAGAATTTTCTTTGTCTCATGCCTGTACTTGACATTCAATCAAGCTATGCTACTTTCCTTCTGCAGAAACTGAAGCTGTCCATCACACCGTTCACCCTGGATGACAAATCACAGACTCTGTATTATGAGAGGAGAGGAACTGTGGGACAACCAGATGAAGCTGCCATTAGCCCCAGAATGAGTCTACCTGAAAAACCTCTGGAGACAAACTTCTGAGTGTTTTGCACAAACGCCGTCACCTGTAAATGACTCCAGTTAATCACTAATTCAAGGCTAGCTGTTAATCATACGCACACTTCTGGTGCAAACAGGAGTACGTTACATAAAATTATTTACATAATTGTGAAAAATCTGCACGTCTGCCAAGCAGACAACAAAAAACTGACATTTTTATGAGCCTATGTGTTTAATGAAAGAGGTTACCTTTAGGGTCTACTTTTACTTCAACATTTGATAAAGTGTTTAGAGCTGGTTGTTTGAAGCTTCAGCATTTCTATAGATTTAGTTTAATGGCTCCAAAAATCCAATGAAGGCAGTGAAATTTGTATAATTTGACAAGAGCACCACCCTTTGGTCAGTTCAACACATAGAATGAACTTAAATGGTAAGACAAGTAATACAATTTAAAGCAGAAAGTTTGAATAAAAACACTTTCCTTAAAGACAATTTATTGCTGCTGACTAACAGATTAGGTCAAATGCAACAAAGAAACTGTTTAAGAACAAAATGAAGCATGGGTCATTCTACTATAAGACGTAAGGTATAATAAAAACCTGTCCAAGTTCACAACTTGTGTGGATGTTTCTTGCAATTGTGTTCTGACCCCAAAAGTCTGGCACACACAACACAAAGCTTGATTAGAGTCAGGGCAACAGTATTTATTTATTCATAAATGAGAAATTTCAGACAGAAGAGTACATGCTGTAGGGCATATATGTGCAGTTTGTTTCCTTTAGAGAAATCCTCAAAACTGAATCTAAAGTGCAGAACAACAGGCAAAAAGGTGGACTGTAGAATCCCATGTGTCTAAAACACAAGAGCACATTTTTTAAAAACGTACCCTGACGACTCAAAGTGTTTAGAGATCCAAAAAGCTGGGCCTGCTTGTGAAATCCTATGGTTAATGATGAAGCAGGAAGGACAGACCATTTATGGTCACTCACAGTAGGTATGACATAACATTGTCAAGGATTAGTTATGCAAGACCACAGATATATGTAATTAAAAGTTAATGTGTTGATTTAAAAAATAAAAATAAAATGTTTACTTATAAACAGCAATTATTTCTTCAAATGAATTTTAATAGGATGTCGAGTAACCTACCCAAAAAAAAAAAAAAAAAAAAAAGTGCAATCAATGACAGTCTTCCCTCTGAGGTGATAACCGTGCACATCATGGCTCAGCAGCAGCTCTCCTCATTTATTCCCGCTGCAGTTTAGTGTCGGCTCCGGTCAGGACTGCTGCGTTCAGTAGTATTATCATAGTGGTTTACAGAGTCCACGCCTGTCATTTCCCCACTGCACAACCACTAAGGCTCCAGTTCTCCTTGGTCACGCCTCTGCAGATTCAACATCAGCTCCACCCTACCAGTCTTCCAATCCACATCGCCAGCAGAGGCCGCTAAGGAGTCACAGGCTGCTGTTTGTGTCCTGCAGCTCCCAGGGTCTCTGCTATGATACCTGCTCAACAGGCCTCATCTGAACATCTCCAATCTAATCACACAAACAAGGTGAATCAAATTATGAAAATAAATAAATCTACTACCATCTAAATCACAATGCACAATAAAAGAGCATGCTGAAGACAAAGAGACAAACCTGGACATGAGGAGGGGCACCGAGGACAAATGTGATTGCGCAGGCTACGTCCTCAGCTTTCAAACACTAAAACAATGTGAGAAAAGTTGCTGTTAGAACAAAACAGTGACAAAAACTATATTTTTCAACAAAATTAAAAAGTGCTTACTTTTATACTCTCATAAACTGCAGCTGCTTTCTCTGGATTGCTGTTGTGGTGTCGAAAGGCAAACTCTGTCTCCACTACTCCAGGAGAAATACACTGCAAGGACAGATTACTTCTCAGAAGTTTGTTCAATTGTTCTGCAAAGCTGCACAAACAGTTCTGCACACACTCAGATGTTACCGGACTATTGGTTACCAACAGCGCAGGCCTTTGTGGCACCATGCTAGCAGCTTACTGTAGCTCTGATGTGAGTGTTTGCTTCTCTGAGCTCTTGCCGTATCCCCTCAGTCAGAGCAGTCACAGCATATTTAGTGGCACAGTAAAAATGCTCATCAGCACTTGGCACAACTCGGTGCCCGCTCATGCTGTAACAGAGAAACATGAGAAATATGAGAGAACTGCCTTTTTTTCTTCACTCAACTCTCAAATTAGTCATAAAAATAGATAATCCTTTTGTTCAGTTTTCTGTTGTTACTTTCTGTGCTTCAGTGCACTTGCTACTAAAGTCCCCCCTGGATTTTTTTTAACAAATCAACTTGGTCTAAAAAGTTGAATATAAACTTACTAACAAAAATGTACACACCCAGAGTGGAAGAAATGAACTGAAACTGAACATGTATGATAAGATGTGACTGTATTGAAATGATTATAAAATTAGACCACATAGATAATGGAGTCAGCATTAAAGCCACATCGTCTGTATGGTGTGGCACCCCCTCAGGCCTGAATATAAGCAGTGATTTTGTATAAATTCAACAAAGTTAAATCAGCTCCTCTGGACGGTTTCTTTATGTTGAAACGTTTTGTCTTTCATCCACAGGACTTCAGTCCAAGGAGCTGCAACAAACTCAGTCCCATAAGCAGCACACTCATACAGCGGACCAACCAGTTTGATGATGATAAGATGGTTTCTGGAGTCCACCCTCTCCCCCATCAACTCACCTGAGGCAGCCATGGCCAATGTGGTTCAAAACATCAAAGTTCATGCTCACTAATCCAGTTAAAAAAAAATCCAACAAAGTCAGAGGACCTGACTTACCGGTAACTTTGTTGGATTTTTTTTACCTGGATTATTGAGCATGAACTTTGAGATTTTATATAAAACTGTATACAGTTGTATTAACTCCTGTCAATCCACAGCTGATGTAACTGAACCTCAAGATCCGGTAGATCAACACTGGGTCAGAACTGATCGTGTTTGATCAGTGAAAGATAGGGGATCTGACTAGCCATGGATGTACTTCAACGTGTGTGAACACGTCTTGTTGAAAAGACAGCAACAGGTTACTGTCGATGTTACGTTAAGACGTGGACGCATAATATCACTGACAGTTCTGTGCCACCCTTGAATCACAACCAGAGGTAACCTGTAGTCGGACCCTGTGTCTCCCCACAACACAACAACAAAGTAACACCAGTGTGTCTCTCCACAACAGTGGCAGGGTTGTTTGTTTCCACTCTGCACCACCATCAACACACACAATGGTCAGCTCTGATGATGCATGACTAAGATTTATCACTATGCATGATACACCACCACTTGTCATCAGTCTATGCCTCCAAATTATGGCACCAGTCCAAGCCCAGACATTTCTGCTGCACCGTTAACATCCTAAGCATAGGATGGTCGAACTGTAGTCTGACTGGTGTAAGTCATCAAGATACAGTGCGTGATGGCAGGCTGTGTTGTAAAGACTCCAGTATATGTGGCTGAATGGCAGACACAGTCATGAGGTTTTGTAATGCTTGGTGTGCAATAGGACAAGCTTGCCTTAATAAAGTAAAGTGCAATGTGTTGTCATCATTGCATGTTCCCATAGAATTGCAAAATTAGTTCTCTGCATTTAACCCATCACACCTGGGATACACCCAGGTGGAGCAGTGGGCAGCTATGCAAGTGCCCAGGGAGCAATAGGGGATTAGGTGTCTTGCTCAGGGACACCACAACATGTGGGAATGGCTGGGGATTGAACCTGGGACTTTCCAGTCCCAAGTCAGCTGCCCATATGTTGGCTGTCTAGGGGGACTAAAACCTTTAAGATGTGTGTAAATGCTCTAATGAACCCATTGGTTCCAACACTGAACCATTGTGACATATGTGCATCCCGCATGCTGGATAATTGGACTATATGACCAAACCATGCCCATGCAAACTCCATCAATGCCAGTAATCCTGTCCAACTTGTGTATGAAGCATCCTCTGTGTCTGCTGAACTTCACTCAGCTTTGTCTGACTGTCAGGCACTACCGTAAATGCTTGATAATCCCATCCCTACATGTTTGATGCCAGTACTCTGTGGTGCATGTTGTCAACATAGTGCTACTTGCAAATTTTAATGTGTATATGGGCTGTAAATTGTGCCCAAAATTTACTGATTAAAGTAAAGCACTATCAATTTATAAACACAAATACAATAAATACAATTAACACTCAACTAGAAATATATATGGTCCATGGGAATCATTTAGTGCCAATAAGTTTGAAACCACCTTGAACAAACTGTACTTAAGAGTTATTGACTGCTTATACAGCTTACCTATTAATATTGATGATGTGGCCGTCATCCACATTCCTCTCCTTCATTGATCTGTAGGCCTCACGGGTGCAGATAGACAAGGCTAAGATATTCACCTGCAGAGGAAGAAAACTGCTGTCAGCTGCTTATGCATTAATCCTCAAAAGGAATAGACCAGTCATAAATTTAGTGATATGAAGTTTGATTTAAAAAACGTTTTTTAAAGTTTTTCAGGTGATTAAGCAGTGTCTGTTTAAATGCCTGATATTCACTTTGTTGGCATGTTAAACCACATGAACCTGTTGTTCCTGTCCAGCTTGTGGCCTCTAAGCTTCTCTTAGTGACACTGACAAATAGCAGGTTAATGCTGAGCGTGGTAGGAAGATAGAGGGAGGTGACCAAATAAGGTCAGCATACAGATTAAACACAAGCTAAAAATACATCACTGTGCACGTACAAGAGGGCTGCCATGACAACAGATGGGCGAGCATCAGAAATGCTGGACCCTGGAGACAAAGCCTGAGGAGTGTGTGTGTGTGTGTGTGTGTGGGGTGGGGGGGAGGGGTGTCTTGGGTGGTCAAGAGCTCAATGAATCAAAATGTTAAGTCTCAACAAGACAAATGGTGCTGGCTTTATTCAATTTGCCTCTGCTGTGCCAGAGCTTCTTGTTGGAGCCAATGAAGCTACTTGTGTGTGAGGAGAAAAGCAATGTGTGTGTGTGTGTGTGTGTGTGTGTGTGCGCGCGCGCGCCACCGAATTAGGCTTCAACTTTTGTTTCTCGAGTAAAAGGAGCTAAACAAACAAAAAACTTCCATTCACATCTCACTTTTCTGAGAAGAGCAGCCAGAAATTGAATATAACACACAAAGAAGCTTTAACCTTCCTTTTAACAAGGTAACACTTATCTTTTTCAGAAAGTTTAGACCTCAGTCAGTTATATCCATGTGTCTACATTCACTCACATCGATCATGTTCCTCCAGCCCTCGGTCTTTCCGCTGAGCAAAGGTTCACTGTGAGCCAGCCCAGCGTTGTTGATGCACACGTCCACTCCTTTGTGCAGCGTCTTGATAGCTGAGAACATGGACATAATCTCCTCTTCGTTGGACAGGTCACATTTGTAAGGAATCAGTGTGCCACTGTAGCCTGCACTCTGACATTCTGCTGCCAGCTTCTGAAAAACACAAAACCCAACAAACTGGAATTCATACATTCTGTTATAACATAAACACCAAACATTAAATAGCAAAAGTATGTATGTCACAGACAGGGCAATGCAAAATCTAGCAATGACCAATTTATACAGGTAGCACCATAATAAACACACCCTAAACCAGTGTAGTGAACTAGGCCTCCGATCAAAACCTGCCTCTGAAGACCTTCATGGGACAGGAACTGTTATTTCATTGATTTGAATCCAGAAATACAAATTAGCTCATTAAGAGACTTTCTAATTGTATCCTGAACTAATCAATTGAAAGAACACTCTCTTTTTTATATTATCATTACTATTTTACAATATCTTGATAATCAAAAGTGTGTTTAGTTCATACCATTTTTAAATGTTGAAGTGAACCACTCATTTTAAATCAACTGTGAAACAGTATTAATGATTTTTTTAATCCTCATTCAAATTAGAAATCAAGTTAAATGTCTATTTTACAAAGTAATTATGCATTTTTTGATCTCCTGTCTGAAATGAGAGAGTGATGTCGGTCAAAAGTCGGAGACAGTCAAGAAACCAGTTGTTAGAACAGGCTGTTGTGTTTTTAAAGCTCTCAGACAGTAAACAAGAGAACTGGCACCTGCGGTGTTTCTCACTTTGTCAAAACATTTCTCTGTCTGTTCCTAAACATTTCTGCCGTTTTCTCGACTTGTAAAAACCCTTTGACGTCACTAAAACCACACCCCTGTTGGTTCCTTCAACCAATCAGGACTTACTAAAAGTGACCGGAAGCAGAACTCTTTAAAAGTCGACACTTCCTAGAACTGTTGGTCCCTTTTAGTTCCGTTAGTTCCTCTGAGTTCTTCTGGAGTTCCTCTGAGTTTTTTGAGTTCTTCTGAGTCTCTTCTAAGTTTTTCTCAGACTCAGTCTTCTGAGTCGAGTTGGGACTATGGAGTCTTCCACATCTGAGTGGAACCTCTGACGGACTCACAGCTTGCTGTGGCATGACCCGGGAGATGAGCGTGTTTGTTGAACGGAGTACTACTTCGGACGATTCTCAGCCATCCTGAGGAGACGCTGAAAGGTAGCGTTGAAATGGAACTCCGTACCGGAGCTGACCTATCTTCTGCAAAGGTAACGAGTCGCTTCACTACTGAGTGTACCGGGGCTGAGCTGGGGTCGGATGAAGGGTGCCATTCCTAGTCAACACACTTTCCCTCATCCATCTTTTCTCTCCATTTAAACTCCTTCATTTCCCATCTTTAAACTTCTATCTTGCCAGTAATTAATCCAGATGCCTTCAGAAATGTCTGTTGTTTTTATTAAGTAAAACGTGCCAAGTTTTATTAATCAGAAGCAGATCAGTCTAATCAAGTGTACAATGTTTTGATGTTAAATTTTGATTCTGTTAATAAATGACCACATTTATTTTGATGGGTCACAGAAAATTAACGTCTCATGTCACGGATTAAACCATCTACGCACAGTACCTCTGTCACATATCTGTAAAGCTCGAAAAAGAGAGAACCCGTTATTAAAATATGACTGTAGTGTAGCTCTGAAGCTAATCGAGCCATTTTAGCACACTACACCAGCCACTAGGGAGCACAAGCCAGTATATCTCTTGTGCCAGTCCAAGTCCAGGTAAATGGTGAGGGTTGTGTCAGGAACAGCATCCGATGTAAAACACTTTAGCCAAAACTAATGTGCAAGTTCTTCTACGCAACATCATACTGGATTGGTCAAGGTCTGGGTTAACAACGACCACCACCAGTGCTGTTGACAAACAGGGTGACGGACGAACTTGTGTTACTGTTAAGACAAAGACTAAGAGGAGGGAGACAGAGGGAGAAGAGGAAAGTCAAGAATGTAAGACAGAGGGTGGCAAATCTACCCTAAATATGGGGACAATGACAGGCAAAGGTAGAGAGCTGGCTGACATTAAGCAGAGAAGGAAGGTAGATGTTTTATGTGTCCAAGAGACCAAGTGGAAGGGCAGCAAGGCTCACAGCATTGGAGCAGGGTTTAAACTGTTTTACCTTGATGTGGATAAAAAGAGAAATGTAGCAGGGTGGTCCTAAAGATGGACTTGAAGATGAAGTTATAGAAAGTATTCTCAGGGAGTAGAGTGGTGATCAGAGCAGACCTGAACGGAAATGTTGATGTAGGAAACAGAGAAGAAGATGGTAGGAAAGAAACCAGGAAAGACAGATGTAGTGGATTTAGCTAAGAGAATGGAAATGGCTGTAGTCAACACCTATTTGCAAAAGAGGGAGGAACATGAGTGACCTGTAGGAGTGAATGAAGGAGTAAAAGGAAGCCTGGTGGTGGAATAGTGAAGTGCAGGACGCCGTTCAAAGAAAGTTAGCAAAGAAGAAATATGACAGTGAGAGGACAGAAGAGAGGAAACAGGAATATAAGGAAATGTGACGTAGAGCAAAGATGGAGGTAGCAAAAGCAAAACAGAAGGCGCATGATAAGTTGTATGGAAGACTGGGCACTAAAGAGGGCGAAAAGAACTTGTACCGATTGGCGAGACAGAGGGATCAGGCTGAAAAAGATATAAGGCAGGTTAGGCTTGTTACAGATAGGAATGATAAGGTTTTAAAAAGTGAAAAGAATGTGACAGGAAGATGGAAGGAGATTTTTGAGGAGGTAAAAAATGAAGAAAAAGAGAAAGAAGAGTAGAGGTCATAGAAAGTGTGGACCAGGAAGTGGGAAACATTAGTGAGGAGGAAGTTCAGAAAGCTCTGAAAAGAATGAAGATGGGGAAGGCAGTAGGACCTGATGACATACCAGTGGAGGATTGGAAATGTCTTAGAGATGGCAGTGAGGTTTTTGACTCAAATATTCAATGGCATACAAACTAGATTCCAAAAAAGTTGGGACACTAAATAAATTGTGAATAAAAACTGAATGCAATGATGTGGAGATGGCAAATGTCAATATTTTATTGGTAATATAACATAGATGACAGATCAAAAGTTTAATCTGAGTAAATGTAACATTTTAAAGGAAAAATATGTTGATTAAAAATTTCACAGTGCCAACAAATCCCAAAAAAGTTGGGACAAGTAGCAATAAGTGGCTAGACAAAGGAAACTGAGCATACAACGAATAGCTGGAAGACCAATTAACACTAATTAGGTCAATTGACAACATGATTGGGTATAAAAAGAGCTTCTCAGAGTGTCAGTGTCTCTCAGAAGCCAAGATGGTAAGAGGATCACCAATTCCACCATTGTTGCGCAGAAAGATAGTGCAACAATACCAGAATGGTGTTACCCAGCGTAAAATAGCAAAGACTTTTAAGTTATCATCATCAACCGTGCATAACATCATCAAAAGATTCAGAGAATCTGAAACAATCGCTGTGCGTAAGGGTCAAGGCCTTAAAACTGTAATGGATGCTCATGATCTCCGGGCCCTTAAACGTCACTGCACCTCAAACAGGAATGCCACTGTCAAGGAAATAACAGACTGGGCTCAGGAATACTTCCAGAAAGCATTGTCAGTGAACACAATCCACCGTGCCATCCGCCGTTGCCAGCTGAAACTCTACAGTGCAAAGAGGAAGCCATTTCTAAGCAAGCTCCACAAGCTCAGACGTTCGCACTGGGCCAGGGGTCATTTAAAATGGAGTGTGGCAAAATGGAAGACTGTTCTGTGGTCAGATGAGTCGCGATTTGAAGTTCTTTATGTAACACTGGGACACCATGTCATCCGGACCAGAGAGGACAAGGATAGCCCAAGTTGTTATCAACGCTCCGTTCAGAAGCCTGCATCACTAATGGTATGGGGTTGCATGAGCGCTTGTGGCATGGGCAGCTTGCATGTCTGGAAAGGCACCATTAATGCAGAGAACTATGTTTAGGTTCTAGAACAACATATGCTCCCATCTAGATGTCATCTCTTTCAGGGAAGACTCTGCATTTGTCAACACGATAATGCCAGACCACATTTTGCAGCAATCACAACATCATGGCTACGTAGGAGAAGGATACAGGTACTGAAATGGCCAGCATGCAGTCCAGATCTTTCACCTAAAGGGAACATTTGGCGCATCATAAAGAGGAAGGTGCGACAAAGAAGGCCCAAAATGATTGAACCTCTTATGCCCCTTTTCCATTAGTACCGGTACGGGCCGACTGTACCCTACTTGGCCCGGTTCTGAGGCTTTTCCATTAGTACCGGTACTTAGCACCTGTTACTATTTTCAGTACCCTTGATTGGTCGGGGGCGAAGTCGGGGGCGGAGTCACTGGATCCTTCAGAAACTTTTCAAAACAATAATCCGCCATTTGCAATTTCTCGGACTGGAGCAGCGGCTGGACTTATTTTAAAGATTTTAAAAACAATACTGACAACATCTTGGTCTAATGCTGATGTGCTGGCATTTTTTGTGCTTGGTGGCCGACAACATAATTCAGAGCAAGCTGGATGGAGCTCTGCTGGTCTACCCCGATCCTCCCTCCAGAGCCTCGGAGCGCCAGGCCGGGCAGGGCGTCATCTCCCCGGCTCCAAGTTCAGCTGGTCACCGCGGATGTGCCGACTCAGAGGCTCGGGTTCCGGATATCAGCCTTGTATGTTCAGAGCTCCGCAGGTCACTGCGAAGCTGGAGATGGGGACTCGCAGAAGGTCGTTGCCTGACCCCGGCCGCGCGTAATCATGAAGGCTGAATCCCGATCCCACCCGGCAGCCAGGCGGACTGGACAGTCTGGAAAGGACGCTGGAAGCGATTTTTAAATAAAATAATATTTTGTTTTTATACAAAAAATGTTTTAAAAATTGCTGAAGCGATTTAAAAATGATTATTATTTTTTTACACGTAAAATGTTTTTTAAAATCGCTTCCACCGTTCGTCGCAGACCCGTCTCTGCCCGCCTGTCTGCGCGGGTCGAGCCTTCATGATTACGCGCGGCTGGGGTCTTGGAACGGCCTCTGTCAGTCACCAGCTGAGCTCGGAGCTGGGAAGATGAGCCTGCCCGTCCTGGCTCCGGAGGAGAGGAT